CCCAAGGGCAACAGCCATTCTGGCATACTTACCCCAGGAACTTCTAGGTACTTCATGTTATGAATATTTTCATCAAGATGATATAGGACATCTCGCAGAATGTCATAGACAAGGTATGATTATTAATAATTCAGTAAACAAACTTTCTAAAAATAGTGGGACCAATTGTGTATTGAGAAAACTAAATGAGCTTGAAAAGATTTGGATCTCTGTTTGCGAATGCTTTAGTTAAAGAACATTGTGCTACATGTGCCAAGCAATATGATTATCTTAGACTTCCATGGATTTTTAGTGAATATTTGAGGTTCAGGTTGGGTGAGGGGGGATGACTGCAGAAATAGCTTGCCTTCCCCCCCCCCCCAGGGGTGAAGGGAAAAATTAACGTGATTTTTCCCTGATAAGGGCTCTACTTACGGTTTAACACATAGTTACTTGCTTTCTGTCTTTAGTTTTGCAGACAAGAGAAAAAATTACAACTAACTGCTACAAGTTTAAAATAAAAGATGGCTCTTTTATTACATTGCGGAGTCGTTGGTTCAGTTTCATGAACCCTTGGACCAAAGAAGTAGAATATATTGTCTCAACAAATACAGTTGTTTCGTAAGTATTTTTCCCTTAGCTGATGCATGTAAATGCTGATTGCTTTGCCCTGTTTTCCACTGAGATTTGACCTAAATATGTGCACATCTCCTATATGACAATAGGTGTCTTCTCCAGATAACACCCACAACTGCATACCTGGGGAGAAGGGAATTAGCTTAATAATTGCAGTAGCTTAGTAAGTGTTTATTAAAGCGTGCAGAAATACAAATATTTTCTTTCTTTGGGAAAACCTGGGGTTCCAGCCTATAGGAGATGTGTTTCTTTGCTTTTGTAGGAACTTCCCCATCCCTTTTCTTTTTCCTTGAAGGTTCTGTACAGATGCAGTGACTTCACAGCAGAATAATTGCTGAGAGGAATTCTGTTATGAGAGAAGCTGTTTGGGTTCTGCATTGCACGCTGAGTTGTAACACGGTGTTTTATTTCTGTTGTTTACCTAGCCTTGGTATCAGGGTGCTTCTTTCACAGAGGTGATAGGGACCACTTAAATCCTGAAGCATTGCACTCTGATCTGCTGGCAGAGTGACTGTTTCGTAGGGTTTTCTATCACTCATTCTTCTAATTCTTGAAATCCACAGCACCAACGTACTTGATAGTGGAGACACAGCCTTCCCACAGCTCGCGGCTTCTCCACACAGCATGGACAGTGTGCTTCAGGCTGGAGAAGGTAACTACTGGACTGTGAGGAGATTATTGGCAGTTGTGCCTTGTTAACAGCTCATCCTGCATGCACAAATTTTCTGCACTCTTGCAGCGAGAACTTAAGATCCTAAAGAAAAATAAGTTTTCAGGCAAAAAAAAAAAAAGTGCTAATGCAGTTCTTGCCCTGTTGAACTTAAATATATCAACTTTGGATATAAGCTGGAGAAGAGAAGTGCATAAGCCAGCTGAAAGAAACAAGTATAAACAGGGTTGGAGGAGTGACAGAGGAGAAATGTTTGCCTTCGTGCATGATGGTATTGTGCATCATCCCAAAGTGAATTCATGTTCTGTGGTTAGTGCAGATGACTACTCAGGGGGTGAAGGGATCATAAATATAGTTTGGCCATTCGGCTTATTGCCCCTCACCTGCCCTTCATTTGACTGACTTTGTCAAGACAGGAGGACTGGCTACTGGTAATTGTCATGGGCTTGTTATGAATGCTGCAGGTCACCGAAACATCTTTCATAATGAGTGGCACGCAGCATAAAGCGGAGCAGAACCTGATCTAATAACGAAGTGTTACTGGAGCAGGGTGGAAAAGAGGTAGAATAGAAGGATGCAGTGACAGCCCATGGATGAAGGACGAGGGAGGAGAGGTGGTGATAGCACTGAGATTCTTTCCAAGATGATGAGAACCGTTGCTTTTAGAGACCCTATTTACTAGATACTACTCTTACCAGCTATGCTTTTATAGTTGTAGAGTGAGGATATTGCACATCTGGAATTAGTTGGTAAGTTGTACACAATACACTTAACAGAACAGTGCAAGACTTCAGCAAAGCTGGACTCTTCAGTTATCCCTGTTCTGAAAAATGAAGTTCAGTAAGTGAAACTATGGAGAAGGAAGGGCGGCAAAGCATGAGACAGCTGACCACGGTAGGAAGAGACGGTGCCACGTAGGCATGATGGTTAGTGATTGAAGGTGGAGTAATGGCAGCAATGTGGTGTCTGGGCCTTCTGAGAATGGGGGAAAATACAGAACAAAGTGTTCTGTAATAGGGTAAGCTTATTCTTGCCACAGCGCAGCCTTTGAAAAGAAACCACACGTATAATAACGTCATACTGACAGTTCTTGTCCCTAGAAAAGAAAGTTAATTGAGTGAAGTTTAATTTCAAGTTGTTCTGGCTCTGCTAAGGATTTGATGACCTTTTTAGGTGAACCTTCACACCTCCAATGGGTCTGAGCCACAGATACCAAGGGTTGCTATTGTTAAATATGAATTTCTAAAAGGAGGCCATTAGCCATTATGTATAAGCAATGCTAAGGGCTTTCTTGCTCTTTCAGTGTGTGATCTTTTCTTCACAATGCCTTGGAGTATATCGGGCTCCTTCCTGACTACCTCTCAAGTGTTGTGCAAGTGTCAAATCACATTAAAATAACAGTGAGCTGCTAACTGTTCAGACCTCACTTTTTCTTCCATTTTTAGATACCTGCAGTGATCTACAGGGGGGTTAGTTATGTTCATGAGGTAGCTTGAACTTATCCCATATTCAGTGGAATATGTGCTGGCAAGTTCTTCTCACAAAGCAAAGAACAAGCATGTTTGGAGACGAGCCTATTCAGGCACAGAATAAAGCAGGTCTGACAAGCTATTCTTTACCAAGTCTGGACAAGAGGTACTATGAGATGCTTGAAACGGCCAGATTCTGATAAGAGCCAGGATATGTTGTGTACCTGCTGGCACAGAGGGACGACTAAGAGATATAGCATATCTCAGTGGAAGTCAGAGCTTTCCGTACATTTGAAGGTACTCACTGGTTGGTGGAATTGTAAATAAATACAGTTCAGAAGGTCCTGCAGCTTGTCAAAATGCCTACATACAAAGGCTTGTTGGAAAAGGTTTGCAAGCTTTTTTCTGACCTTAAGATATCTACTCATTTCAGGTGGCCCAAAAAGGACCCATCCTACTGTGCCTGGAATTCCAGGTGGAACAAGAGCTGGGGCGGGTAAAATAGGGAGGATGATTGCTGAAGAAATCATGGAGATTCACAGGTGAGAGAAAATGGTAGGAAGTTAGAGGAAAATCAGTATTGTGGTTTTTTTAAGAGGAAATTAAGGAAGTCTTTCTCTTTCTTCAAGCTGAATACAGAATGATACAATTGCATTTTATACGTAGACAGCTACAAATACTTATTCAGCATACCTGAGGCAGTCAAAGCCCATAGTGAAAGAATGAAAAAGTTACAGCCTTCCAGCTTTCTACTGTAAAAGACTAATATTGGAACTTACTGTAACGGTGATAATTACTTGTTTACCAGAAACAGTAGTTAAAAAGAACAGCTAACTAGAAACAAATTCTTTTCCAGACTATTCTTTTTCCAATGACTTAAGGGTGTAAGTGGAACAACCTCCAAATGCCAAAGCTATTGACTACATGCCAAAAAAACAATATTTGTTTTCATGTGATCCACTTTGCTCAGATGCTTTTAGAGTTGTTAGATATGTAAGTTCAGCTTGTGCAGTTCTCCCACAGCTCTCCGAGCAAGGACACAATGATTAAGCTGGCTCTGCCTTCCCAGGGGCAGTCTGTCTAAAAGTCAGGTTGTAGGTCTCTGTAGTAATATGTAGCTGTTTCTCAGAACAGCCATCTCGTATCTCTCACCTGTGTGAGCAGCTACTTTCAGTGGGTATCACTTAATTTCTACTGGCTAACAATCCCTGTTCTTCATGAATTTCCTCTTGGGAATTGTTCCCTTTCCTATAGAAGTGGTTTCATCCAGCTGATATTTAGCAGCAGTAATTTAACCGTACTGAGCTGCAATTCAGGAAAACAGTCCATCTGTTTCCCATAGTTTTGTTTCTGCTGCAGGCCACAGACTGCTTACATCATTGTTTAAGGGAACAGCAGACCTATCACATATGGCTTCTTTCCTGTCTATAAGGATAGGAAGGAGGAGGGGGCAGGGGGAGGGGAAGACAAAAAGCGACACCAAGGCTGAACCAATACATTGAAACTTAACCATCCCTTTTAGTAGCTGTAAAACACTTAATTAGTCTCAGTGAGTGTAGTAGTGTAGCTTACCACCCATGCTTTCGTTTCATTTCCAGACCCTGGGTTAGTTCCAGTCCTTTTTCAGCAGCTGTTACTATTTTCCAAAGCTGCCTTCTGTTCAGCTTTCCCAGCGGAACTCTGCCAAGGATAAGATTCCCAATTCCATTGCTTTTCTCTGTAACCACCCTTCCTCCCTTTAGTCTACAGATTTGTTGGTTCTACAGTTAATACATTATTCATTAGTTAAAAAAAAAAAAGATATTTGATCGAGCTATTGAAAATTGAAAAGTGCTGCTTCAGACTACTTAAAAATATTATTGACTCCATCAAATATCTAGTGTACTTCTGCAGCAGTAGCTCACTTAAGGAGCCTAGGTTACTGTGACTAAGGCAGCTCAAATGCTTAGCTGGTCTAAATTGAAGTAAAATACAAAAAATGAGGCTTTCCTCCGTACCCGGGACTTTTTCCTTCTGACTCTGTAAAGCCTGAACAGGAACAAGTAATGATGGGGAGGAGGTTAAAGCCAGCAGACCGAGCAAGCTGGACAATTTACACACAACTGTTTATCTAGCTGCAAAGAAAAATGTTGCTATTGCTGATTTAACACTGAAAAAGTGAGGAAGTTACAAAAATGAAGTTCATGCTTTTAACATCTAATGCTGCCACCTTGTACTAAAGTTGGTATTTGAAACTCCAAGTCTCTGGCACCCAAGTCTCAAAGTTGCTGGTAAATTTATTCCGTTTTCTCCATGTTTTAGGATAAGAGGATCATCACCTTCTAGCTGTGGTTCAAGTCCACTGAACATTACCAGCACACCACCACCCGACACATCCTCCCCAGGAGGCAAGAAGGTAAAAACAAGCTTTACAAACAGTCTCGCAGCAGTAGTGGCAAGCAACTGAGATCATACTTAGAAAATTACACCTGGTGTTGAACTCCTCCTGGCTGCTTGGCTGAAAAAGTCTGACAGCAAATCAAAGTATTCTGGTGGCCAAAATCCCTTTACAGTAGTCCCTGAAGTGCAGAGACCAGCAGTTCTTAAACACTGGCAGCTTTTGAAATCCACTTGCTCTTTAGATTTTCACTTTTATCAGAGCTGCAAGAAACAGCCCTCCAAAAACTCTTTACTACCACATACTGGTGAAGATTGGAAGTGCTAGTGTTTGAGCACTGGCTGTGCTCAAATGATTTACACCACTTTTGCCATACTGCTGTAGCACAGAATAGGACCATTAGCTGCTTTACTGTGTGCTGACAGTTTATTTTTAAATCAATACCATGTACCATACCTTGTTCTAAGATTGCTTGAGTTGCACTCACATACCATTACCAGCACTTAACCACGTGAACACTTGCACTGGCTGCATTGAAGTCATCTAGTAAATTGCTGCTTATGGTAGGTATATTCAAGGCAAGAGCAGCACTTATCTAAATCCTTATTTCTGTGCACTCCAACGTTGTCTCAGACTTACTTAACTTTTTTCCCCCAGAAATTATGATGACTATACGTAAGAATTGCTTGTACTGGAGCATATGGCTGACAGGAACTATTTTTGTCTATTCTTGGCTTGCTTTGTTCTTGAAATAAAACTTGACATTGGAACAAACTGAGTTATAATTCTAGGAATAGTTATTCTGGCTCCTTCTGCCTTACAATAATTCAACACCTACATAGAGTAAGGGCTACTGTAACAGAATAAAGGAAAACACACATGGACAGCTTGGTGCTTCTCATCAGGCACCCCCTCAGTATTTCTCCTTGGTTAGAAGACTACATTTGCTAGAAACAACGCAAGTTCCAGCTGATGCTGCCCTCAGAAGGGAGCTCACAAGTACTTACCTCCCAGTGTACACACACCTGAGCAGGTCAAATTTATGGCTGAAGTTCAGCTATTCCCTTGCAATTTAAGAATCCCAGAGAAGGCTCTTCAGTTTCTGATGAGCTCTGGTGTATGTGGTACCGCTGTGCTGCTCTGTGCCAAAAAGTGGTTAGGCTTGTGATCCAGGAGCAGCGCTCTGCCCATGCAGTCTGTCGCTATGTGGGGGGATTATACTCCTAAAATGAAGGATCTGAGTTGACCGCACTTTGCGCATACTGTATTTGTAAATTCAGAAGCATTCTGTAGTTAGCTGTAATTACTATCACTTGCAGATGGAATACTTACAAAGATGACCCACAGAAATCCCAAGGTCTTTTTCTATTGGTTTTTCAGAAGTTTAGTGTGTACTACTGACTTGATCTCTGCTTTTCTGGTGGTGATATACTGTCCGCTGCTTGATGGGCATAATACAGAAGTAGTAGTTCCTAGTTTACAACTAGTCTGACTACCTAGCCTTTAGGTGGTGGGGTTTTTCAGGAAGTCCATCTTCCCTGTATTAAAAATCCCATTATAGGACAATTTAAGACTTAATGCAATATTTCATGCTGGCTTATGACTTCTATTTTTTTCTTTCAAGATCCTGAATGGTGGTACTCCAGACATTTCTTCAGCTGGGTTACTGTCTGGGCAAATCCAAGATAACTCTGGTTACCCGTATTCTGACAACTCCTCTATTCTTGGTGAGTGAAGTCACACACTGATGTGCCTTAATACCACCTAAATGCATACAGACAACTCGAACAAGATGACTAGTTTTAGCAATAACTTGCTTTCACCATCCACAGTACAGAGGTGAGGCATAAAGCCTGTAACCTACCACTGTTTGCCTAAAGCGGGGGCTACAAGAGTAGCCTGGTGGTCTGTTTTGCTAACTTTATATTGTATACTCTTGCTGAATCAGTGTGAGTTAGCTGACCTCCTCCCCTGCTTTTTGTGAATGCTTTTTAAACAACTGAAGATGAGAACAAAGACTAAGCTGATCCTAGATGTTGATCTAGACTTATTTTTGAAGTACAGCATACAATGCCATCCTTATTAGGCATACTGGTCATTTCTTGTGCTCTGACACCCTGGTATCAGAGGTATCCCTGAAACTGTGGCAGCCTGGACACATCAAAACAGATCAACACTCCCAAACTAGTTGAGCCTGTTCAGATACTCTATGTCCAGTCATGGGGCAAGTGCCTGTAGCAAGTAAAGTGAACAAAGTAAAACTGAACTTCTGACACCTTCCTGTGTTCATGCTTACAGGGGATAACTCTCATATTGGCATTGATATGATTGACAACGACCAAGGATCAAGCAGCCCCAGCAATGATGAAGCAGCCATGGCAGTAATAATGAGCCTTCTTGAAGCAGATGCAGGTCTTGGTGGCCCTGTAGACTTCAGTGATTTGCCATGGCCCTTGTAAATGATGCACCTGGCTCAAACATCCAAATATCAAAGTGCATTTACTGGTGGAGTTCTACAGTCTGTGAAACTTGTTGGACTGAGAAGCTTTTATGTACAAATTTCATAAAAGCTGTATCAGATTGCAACTCATCCTACCATGTGTAACTTCAGACAAAGTGGAATAACCTGCTACAGTGTTCTGTGTCGATTTGGTTAGCTGTGTATAGCTTGCAATACTTGTATATTTTGGATTCTGTTGTTTGAAATTTTTTTTAAATCACTGTGCAACTCACTGGCATCAGTGGTAGCTTTTATATGCAAATGACCATTTCAGATGTATGGTGTGTTTTTACACTGCAAAACAGTCCCCATGTGGATATTTCTTATACTAATTGTACCATAAAGCTGTTTATTCTTTCTTGTAAGAATCCTTTACTATAAATATTGTTAAAGTGTAATGTATTAGACAGTTAAATATTTTTAAAATAAATGTTTCCCTTGTTCTAAGATGGAGCATTTACTTTGGTAAATAAATTTGATAAAACCCTGCTGAAGGTGCATGCTAGAAGCAGTTGCCTATTTATCCTTTCTTTAGCCCTGGGGGAAAAGGGAAGAAAAACACCATTTTGTCACTACAGTAAATTTCTAGAGAAGCTATTATTGCTTATTCCCAGATTCAAGTTTATACTAAGATAAATAAACAACTGTAAGGTAGGTTAAGATAGGCTGACATTACTACATTTCTCTTTCAGAAATACTTGTTTTTCACTTACTTACTAACCATCCTTCCCTGAGGGAAGAAAAGCAACTACTTTCCACATTCATCTGTATACTTAATCTCATTCATAGATAACTCAAACTCATTAAAATAATGGAAACTTTATTTGCATGAAAAACTTGTTTACAATCATTAATGAAGAATGAACCATTTGCATTTTCCCATTTCATGACACTTACGAAAAATGTATTAAATAAATATTTGTGAACAGATTAAGGTAAGGCAGAATTTAAGATAAAGCCCCTATCCCTTGTTCACAACTTTTGAACATGGCTCACGCTGCAAACAAGTGAAAAAATTCACTAAAGAACTTTGAGTTTAACAAGATGTTACATGGGTAATTGAATCATGTCCTCAATCCAAAAACCCAAGAGTAAGTAGTTTTGTGCTCAACCATATACAATAACTTTAAAATGGTCAGCCTATTCAGAGCAAAACTATTTACAGTTAATACTTTTGATAGAAGCACTTTGTTAGTATTGTGCAATACATTTATAAAAAATGGCTTCAAATTCCATTTATCAACCATTTATAAAGTGCTACTATCAATTCCAATTCTGTGTTCTAACCCCTGTGTAACAATACTGACATACACTAGCCACCAGCCTCCCATTGGTTTTGATGGGCTTAAGAGTGAGGACAGTCCAGCATACAAATCACCAATGTCACAAGCCTACTGGTAAACACACAGACATACGTAACCGTGACCCCAGGGTGTTTGATCTGTACTCTTTCCAAAACAAGCAGGTGCTTCCCCCTGGTCTTTGCAAAGGTCTGTACTGCAATATCCTAAACACTGTTACACAATGGAGAAAACTGGACTTGCAGTGTAGCATGAGTTGAGTACAGAGTCACTGTAAAGTAGCATGCTTTTGTTTTAGTAAGAGTCAAGATCAGAGCGGTGGGTTCTGTCCCTCAGTATCCATCTCACTGTTATTAGGTGGAGGATGAATGGGCAGGATATCCAGCTCATCTACTTGGGGGGTAGGATGCATTACCACAAGCTGGTCCTGGGGTATATCTGCTGCCGCAGCCGCTAGATTTGTAATGGATTTGCTTTTCACACACTGAAAGTCAACGTGCCGACTCTTTCCTTCCTCCTTCTCCCATGACATCCGAATGAAGGGTCTTTGGACGTAGTTGTAAATCACCTCTGGCCTCCCGCCCGGTCGCTTTTTCACTTTCTCTTTGTACGTAGGGTAACCTAAGAAACAGAGCACAGCAGGCATTAACGCTCCTCATGCTGGTTAGGTCAGGGATTCCTTTTACAAAAAGCACTTGTCACCATCAACATCCTGGATGGAAACAGGAGCCATCATGGTGTCCTACTGATGCCAGGAGGGCACACAGTCAGCAGTGTAACTACCAACCCCACTGTAAGGAAAGAGGCTACAGTGCTATGGATAAGGAAGATAGTGCCACTGGACAACTCTGCCAGACTTCGCAGGCAAAGCCAGTCATTCCTTCCCTGAGCCAAAAGCAGCTGGCTGCTCTAAAACACTATAACCTGGAAAGCAGGAAATGAGATCTCTAACGTAGAGATCAGCATCATTCTGAGCTGTGGTTTAAGTAAGTTCTCAAGTGGAATCCACACATGTTCCTCCCAGCCACCCCAAGTGATGAAAATACATCAGTTTAGACCAGTTATCAAGTCTGGTTATGCCATGTTCAAGTCTTCCCTCTGCCTAAGCAGTAATTTTCATTACCAGAGAGTTACAGATTATTACAGGGCACTAGCATTAAAGTTTAGTCAAACAGTTGTTCTTTTATCTAAAACAAGAAACACCAGCAGAAGTGATCTGGTATTAGCCAGCGTTAACACACAAAACCAGGTCTTATTTAGTTGAATAGCATGTCAGGCTGAAGGCTCATACTTTGTTCAGACAAAAACATTTGTCAACTCTAAAAATCAGTAAGCAGTTAAAAATGTTTGGTTTTGGTTGACAAATTACAAACGTAACTATGATGGCTTGGTGAGCAAATGATAGAAAACCTCCAAGTTATAAAGGCTGGATTTTAAAATATTTGGCTCAACAGTCAGAAAGAAACTGAAATGCACAGAAACCCAGTTGTTACATTCATTATAAAAATCTGCGACTACTTAATGTAGTTGCCTTTTGCAAAGTCAGAGCTGAGATTTTACAGATCAGCCTCCTAACTTACAAGATGTTTATTTCAGATTAATATTTCTTTGCACTTCAATGATCCATTTCATAGTTTTGCATTTCCTGAAAGAAAATATTTACCTGCCACTTAACACGAAATTAACACCAGACCAAGAACAGAATAGACAAAGCTGTAAAAATGCATCATCACTGCAAATAAAGTACAGAAAAGAATTTGCATGAAAACTGAAGAGCAAATGGCAGGAGATGCAAGTCCTAAGTCAGTAGAAACCACCTGAGTTACTCTGGACCAGCTGTTTATTGAGTACTGCTTCCCCTCTGGATGTTCTACCATCTAACTTCAACAGGAAAGACAACACCGACCCTTATTTCTTCAGTTGCAGAGACAATCAGGAAGCAGAGCAGTCAGCAGACCTTTTCCCCTCAGAGTCAGCTGTGCTTCTCTTACCTTCAATGCCCAGTCGGATCTTCTTGAGCCCCCTTTCCTTCAGAACTGATTTGGCCACATCTCGATTTTCAATGTATTTGAAGAATCTATACAACTTTGTGCTGTAAATAACTAAAAAGACATTTTAATGATGAAAAATTGTATGGAAAGATAAATCTTTGTGCTTTAAGACTAGAGGTTTAATCCTTTTCACTATTTTGCTTTATTCTAGTATTTCTATTTCCGAATAGTGGGAGACACTCAAGAACTCCTCAAAATATCCAAAACAGAAGTCAGAGAAAAAAAGCTGAAGGGACTGTGAAACGAATCAGTTGCAGATCTCTTTTTCCCTATCAATTTAGTCTGTTTTATACACTTAGGAGTTTTTTGTTGGATTTAGGAATTTAATAGGACAATTCACAGAACAAACCACAGTATATACTCCCAATCCCACCTCCACAAAGACAACAATGCAATTTTTGTCTCCTTTTTGATAGAATTCCTGTAAACATAAAAAAAAATCTTTCCATTCTTCTTGCCATTATGCAAGAGATACCTGCAAACCCATTTCAGAAAACCCAGACTTGTTCTGCTTCACAGGAAGGACATCTTTGAAATTTTTATTATAGCACCTTAAAAGAAGGGACTGGGGGGCCATCAACCCCATACAGCTGCAGAGATCCAGATCAACTGTTTATGAAAAGTATAAATATAAAAAAGGCAAATGTGTGTTTAACTAATTACTTAGGGTAGGAGGTATTAATTGACATCTTTGAGACATAAAAGTCCTGGAAACCCAAGCCAATTGCATCACTACATTAGAACGGCCCCATTTGATCTATACTCACATCGACCCTCTCCTCTTTAGGAAGAGCTACAGGTTTGCATCCTCCAAAAATGTAAGGCTCTTTTTTTGGTGGTGATTTGGGATTTATTTAAAAAAAAAACAAACAACAAACACAAAACAAAACACCAAACCAAAATTCAAAGCAAAACTGTAATACTTTGAAGAGACTTCTAAAGGATTTTATACTACTGGTGTACAAAGAGTGTCTCAAGCTCCTACATCTCCCCCCAAAAGCCCGAATTTCAAGTTTTCACACTAAAGCAACGTTTTCTGCTACAAGGACAGCACTGATGCAGGGAAAGGCACTCCATTCACAGGTGCTGTAGCTCATCTGTACACCAAACTCTTACACTTCCAAAATACTAACACTTCCCCACCCGCCCCCCAAAAAACCCCAACCCCAAACCCTCTAGTTATTCTCCCACAGTAAACGTGACTCCTATACATTTTTCTCAAGTTCTTTCTGAAAAAGTATTTCCTTCCCCCTCATTGACTGACAATACCTTAATAATAAAAATTAGCTTCTCTTTTTAATTAGATTTGAACATAACATGCAACCTATGCTTCTGTGAAACAAAGTATTAAGCAGAACTACCAAAACCACGTTGTTTTTTTCTGAGGCACTAGGGATGTTGTAAAGACTTTGCTAACAGCGCTTACGTACAAAAAAGTTAAATCAGCACATTTACTGCTACCTCTACCACAGCGTGACTTGGTGGAAACAATGAAAATAAAACTTACTTTGTGAATACTCCTCTCCCATTTGTGGGGGGTACTCTTCATCCCAGTCAACAACATCATCATCTGTCAGTACAACAATGTGGCACTCCCTCTCACCACTCTGGGCACTGGCTACCATTAATGGCAGAATCATTTCTTCTAGATAAAACTCAAATTGTTTGCGAGCACCATCATTTGACAATTCATGCATGAGAGCACCTGGAACAAAATTTTAAGCATAAGCACATTTGAAGGCTTGGTAAAAAAACAATGAAGGCAGGAATAAAACACAGCAGTTCTGTTTATTTTGTAGTATTTACTGCAGACAGCTGTAAAGACACTTAGTTTATCAGTTTGTATAAGATCAGAATTTTTTTACAAATGTTTTCTAGAAGCCACACCAGAAGTTCAAACTAACAGGACTGTCCTGCGCATCTTAGCACAATGTTGGGCAGACAGAGGAGTGGCTTTGAGGAGACCACCTTCATTTTTCACTACTGAAAAACATTTGGTAATTGTGCATAAGACTCCTCTCGGGCTTCCTAAAAGAAATATTATTTAAGCCAGTTGCTGAAAGAGTAGAGCATGTTACCAAGTTTTCGTAAGCAGTAGCTTAAAAACAAAGCCTCTCAAAACCCGCGCAGCATGAGCTGCTAAATCCTTCTACTAA